GTGCCGGGGATGGCTCACTAGTCACAAAAACAAGGCTGTTTAGCCAAGCCCTATGACTCCAGTGTTTAAACGCTAAGCCATCACACAATATTAAAAATTAGGGCAGGGCTTCCCTGGTGGCGCAGTGGTTGAGAGTCCGCCTGCCGATGCAGGGGACGCGGGTTCGTGTCCCGGTCCGGGAGGATCCCACATGCCGCGGAGCGGCTGGACCCGTGAGCCATGGCCGCTGGGCCTGTGCGTCCGGAGCCTGTGCTCCGCAACAGGAGAGGCCACAGCAGTGAGAGGCCCCCGTACCGCAAAAAAAAAAAAAAAAAAAATGAGGGCAGGTTTTCAGAAAGGACTACGAGGCTATGAGAGAATATAAAACTTAAGAGCGAGGAGTTTGGAGAATAAGGCAACGGCTCTACCTTTCACAGATTTGACCTGCATACATAAACCCCAAGAGAAAAGAGAATAACATTTATTGAGCACCTGCGGTTACCTTGGCACATAGTAGAAGCCTAGATAATTAAGTTAGCATGTTCTCCCACAGAACATATGCTGTTGTAGGGAAAAAACACACAAGCAACTCTAACCCAGGGTCTCAGAGGGCAGCGCGTCAATGCTATAGGAAAACTACAAAGGGCTCTCTCTGGTGAGTGTGCCATTTCTCTCACCCGAGAGGGACGGCTAGCCTCTTGACACCCTTTCTCTGGTTCTGTCGTCTTCTTTTGCTAGGTATCCAGATTAGTTCCTTTACTCAAGCTGACCTCACTTCAGGACGCGTTCAGTATATCCACTCCAGTGAGACCGAGACGCATTCGGATGCCTTCAGTTTTACGCTCTCCGATGGAGTCCACGAGGTGGGTGAGGAACTTGCTTCCCTCCTTGATGGGTATTGATGCAGCGCCATCCTCTTTGATTGGAGGGTGCTGAGCCACCGGTGCCGTGAGAGCTTCATTCCCCTCTGCTCTCAGCCCAGGACAGAGGCAAAGAGAACTCTATCTTGCCAGAGAGAACTCACTTCTGGGTTCCTAGCTGGTCAGTCGTGCCAGGAATGGTGTGAAAGGGAATGCAGAGAGCGCCTACCTTCTCCTCGGGTGGGTGCTGGGGACAGGTGACCCACCTGCACTCTTCTGCCATGTAGGTGACTCAGACTTTCCACATTACTCTTCGCCCTGTGGATGACTCGCTGCCCGTTGTACAGAACTTGGGGATGCGGGTACAGGAAGGTGTGAGGAAGACCATCACAGAGTTTGAGCTCAAGGCGGTAGATGCAGACACAGAGGTAAGAGTCCTCCCCTGGGTTGTCCGGCCGAATGAGAGGCTGATCTAGTGGCATCTATTGCTTTGCGACAGTGCATCCTGAGGGTGGGGTGGGATGGTGAGTGTAGTGCAAGCATCCTTGAAGGATTAAAAACTAGAACATACCATGGCCTGCTGGAGAAGAGAAACTAAATACATTTGAAATCAAGTTGTTTTTCAACCCTTTCTGAAACCCTAAATACATTTATTCTTTCCTATGATTACGTGCAACAGTCATTTTAACATGCTGATTTTTGTTATGATCCACAGAAAATTAGGTAGATGACATTTCAGATAGTGTTTTTATTACTATTAGTGAACAAGGAATTCCTTCACCTATACACTTTTACCTCCTTTACTGAGACTTCAGTGGGTGACAACTAATTATTGCAAATTGAGCATTCTCAAAGAGCCAGGCTTTACACAGTCAAATAGGGCATGTAGGGACTAAACTCTCCCTCTCCTAATGCTTTCTAATTAAAGTATCTAACATGCTGGTATGATCTAGCTTCCATTAAGAGTACCACGCACTTCTTAATTAGTTCTATGTATGCCCTTCCCCGTGCCAGCATGCGTTCATTTATTTATTCATTCTTTCAGCAAATATTTATTATCCGCTAAGTTCCAAGGTCTGCTCTAGATGCTAAAGACAGCGCTGTGAATAAAACAGATCAAAGTTCCAGCCTTAGGGAGTTTACAACCTTTGGTTAGGGGGACAGACCATAAAGAATGAAAGAACGTAGAATATCATGTCAGATATGATAAGTGCCAGGAATAAAAATAAAGAGACAAAAGCAATAGTGATTGATGGGTGCGCTGTTTCAAGCAGAGTGGTCGGGGAACGTTTCTCTGAGACAGGAAGAGACAGGAAGAGAAAGAGCAGGCTATGCCGTTTCCTGGGAGAAGCCCTTTCCAGGCAGAGGAATCAGGAGGGCAAAGGCCCTGTAGTCACGTGTGCTTGGAACATTTGAGTTGGGACACAGCAGCCAAGAGTCTGGACCCCAGTGAGCAAACAGGACAGAAGGATGAGGCCAGAGAAGAACCGTGGGACCAGGTCACAGAGGGCCTTCTTGGCCCAGGTCAGGCCTCTGTATTTTATTCCAAGTTGGTGGGAAATCATTGGAGAGTCCTGAGCAGGGTTTTCTACCTCTTTATTTTTCCTTCTGCATGTCACCCTGGAAGCAGCCATTGGAAATGGGAAATTTGCTTCTGTTCTGATGCATATGAGATTCTCTATATAAGAGTTTTGGAAAAGTGTATGTGGGTTGGGGGGAGGGTGAATGGAAAGGAAATGAGTAATTTTAAAAGGTCTAGTTCTTAATCATCTGAAAGGTTAAAAATTCAGGTTTTCCTCTATAACCCTTAATGGGCAAATTTAAACGTCATCTTAAAACGGAAGGCACCAGAATATAAGTTCGATTATAGAAACCAATATAATTTCTCTCCTTAGCTTGATTTTTGGTATCTATAAAGAAAATGCAATCTTTGTTTTATAAATGTCTTTAGGTTTGGCTGCCCTTGACCGCCTGTGGCCATCACTCACACCTCTGGCTTCTGTTACAGAATTCCCTTCTTCTCTTGCCTTTTGCCTCCTTGACAGGCCGAGTCTGTCACATTCATGATCGTGCAGCCCCCGCGCCATGGCACCATTGAGCGAACCACCAACGGGCAGCCCTTCCAGCACACCTCCACCTTCACCATGGAGGACGTCTATCAGAACCGGGTCCACTACAGCCACGACGGCAGCAACTCCCTCAAAGACTGGTTCACCTTCACCGTTGCTGACGGGACGAATCCCTTCTTTATTATTGAGGAAGGAGGAAAAGAGGTGAGGGGCGAAGACCATGGAGAGGGAGGCACAGCAAAGCATGCCAGAGGCTGTCTGGAGGCAGAACATGGCCTTTTTAGACCAAGGATAACATTGTTTGAGTTTTGGTTCTGTCACATACTAATTGGGCCTTGGGCAAATTACTTACCTTCTCTAAGCCTCAGCTTTTCATCTGTAAAATGGACACAGGAATGATCACCAGTTTCAATTAGCCTAAGGATCAACGGAGGTAGTCCATATAAAGGGCTTAACACTGTTGGCAAAGAGTGAGTGCTCAAGTAAATGATAGTTATTGTTATTATCACCACTATTATTTCTCCTCTTCCTTTTCACTCACCCTTTATTCCTTTCATTTTTCTTTCATCTGGTTTTTCAATAATATCACATGGTTCCAGATTGTCTCCTGAGCCAGCCAGAGTTTCTCTATCTCATGAAGAATTACAGTCAAGAGTACGGCTTTTGCGTCCAAAAGACACTGATTTAAATTCTACCTCTGACACTTACTAATTGAGTGTCTCTGTAAGTCATTTAACCTTTCTAAGCCTCAGCTTCCCTGTCTGTAAAATGGGGATGATATCTACCCTCCTGATACACATGGAGCATGTAGCCCAGTACCTTACACAGGAAACATAGGAAATATCTGATAAACTGTGGCTGTAATCATCATCATTGTTACCATTCTAGGACCAGCTTGTGAAACAGGTGAAGATGATTTTCTTTTGAGGTCATGAAGCTGTTAAGCTTTTCTTCCTTAGGAGAATTGCTTCCTTCTAACATTCAGATGTTCAGGCAACTAAGAGCCCCCTCCCACTACCTTCCCCACCATTTTAACTCATGTTTAGAAGATTTCTTGCAGTATCATAACCAGCCCCTGGGAATAACTGCAGCTCTGGAGAAAGGTGGACTCATGGATACCCCTGCATCTCACAGAGCTATCTGACTCAGCAGAAGCAGTTTTAGCGAGCATGTTATCACACCCTGCTGTTTACTTCCAGGATAACCAAGGGGTCAACTTCTTAGGCCTGCAGAGTTTTTTTTCCCTACTTTGATGATGAATGATTCTTTTCCTGACAGATCCTCTGGCATGCTTCAGAAACAAACAGCCCGTGAGAAGATCATTCTCAGTTGGCCAAGGTGTCGGTGGGATGGCTCCTGGGATTTCCCTGCCATTTCAGCACCTGCACTGCCTCTCCACCTGGCAGGTCATCACGTTCATTTTCCCTCTCCCAAACCGTAACTGCTCCCCGGTTAGTTTGATTTTCAGAAGAGAAAAAAGATTTAGGAATTAATCAGCAAGAGGGTCACCTCTATGATAAACATAAAAGGTCACAGCAGATCTCCAGAGGGACCGTGTCATTTTGAAAATGGAAATTATCTAGAAGGAGGGTTGTAGAAGATTGAAACACCAGCATCTTGCTGTCCTGTATGCCAGCTTGCTGTATCTGCTCAGAAACAGGGAGGTGCTGGATCAGACTCCCCATGTATGTTTGAATGTATGTGTGTGTATCTGTGTGAGAATGAAGTTATAAACCGAAATTTCTTTGTATTATTCCCACAAACACTTTTATTCTTGATTTCTTCTGCCCCTTTTCCCCATGTAGACAGCTCTCTCTCAAAAAAAAAGGAAAGAAAAACAAGGAAATCTCTTCCCATGAAACATCTTTTCACATCTGACAGAATCCTATCTGGAGACTTTGACATTAACATTTTGATTATGAAAATCATGAGAAGTCCGACCAAAACAAAATGGCCGGGCAATTTCTAGCGAGCGCGCCGTCAGAATTAACTTAGCAGGCGCCAAAGCTGATGAGCAGGTGACGTCATTACGTTAGCGTCGGGCGCAGGTGTGTTTAAGTGAACCTGAGCCGGCGCAGACTCGGAAAACTCCGGCGAACCTAAGAATGGCGGGTACGGGTTTGGAGGCCGGAAGGGTTGTGGTGGATGCGCTGACGTATTTTGACCGAGGTTACGAAGCACCTGGTGTGCGGGAAGCGGCTGAAGCATTGGTGGAGGAGGAAATACGTAGATACCGACCTACCCAGAAGTACCTGAGCCACCTGAGAGCCCCGGATTATTCCACTCTTGAAACCAACATAATGAGAAATGAATTTGAAAGATTGGCTGCTCGACAACCAATTGAATTGCTCAGTATGAAACGATACGAACTTCCAGCCCCTTCCTCGGGTCAGAAAAATGACATTACTGCGTGGCAAGAATGCATAAACAATTCTATGGCCCAGTTAGAGCATCAAGCGGTTCGAATTGAGAATCTGGAACTAATGTCACAGCATGGATGCAGTGCCTGGAAAGTGTATAATGAAAATCTAGTTCATATGATTGAACATGCACAGAAAGAGCTCCAGAAGTTAAGGAAACATATTCAAGACTTAAACTGGCAGCGAAAGAACATGCAACTCGCAGCTGGATCTAAATTAAGAGAAATGGAGTCAACTTGGGTATCCCTGGTCAGTAAGAATTATGAGATTGAAAGGACTATTGTACAATTAGAAAATGAACTCTTTCAAATGAAGCAGCAACATGGAGAGGCAAACAAAGAAAACATACGGCAAGACTTCTGAAAAAGACTAATCTGGTGGGTAGAAAGGAAGGCATGTTGGGCTTTCACAGACGATCAGACATCTGAACTGTGAAAAACAACAGCATCTTATGGAAATCATCAGTGGTTAAATGTTTAGAAAGCATAGAATGTGGACTGTTATACTCTGTTTGTACATTTCAGCAAAATAAAAAATTTCAACATGGTGGAAGAAAAATCATGAAAATTTTAACAAGTTATTGAAAGGGAAATATTTTGTTTATTGTTTCACCTCAGGGCAGTATTAAACTCAACTAAAGAAGGCATAGGTGTGTGAAAACCAACTTCCATAGCAGGTGAAATTCCAGCAAGAGTTCTTATATTGTTTCTACTTTATCCATCAACATTCTCCCTGAAGCCTCATGCCAAGTGGTGATAAGCGATGGAAACTTGCTCAGTTGCCCATTTTGAAGTGTCAACAGATTTCAGGGGTCCCAGCCTTTGTAGGTCCTAGACCTGACGTATTTCAGATATGTGTGAATGATAAGTTTCCTTTGTTGCTTTCACCACAGATCATGACAGCAGCACCTCAGCAGTTCTGGGTAGACATCCTCCCAGTAGATGATAGCACCCCTAGAATTGTTACCAACCTGGGGCTCCAGTGGCTGGAGTACATGGATGGCAAGGTAAGGCCTTTCCACCTGCCGCAGACACATTAACTGACTTGGGCTCGATCCTATTCATGACAATATGAACAGAACTCTTGTTCAACTCATGTTTATCCCTCCATAAGTGAGCTGATTTGTTAAGATTGCTGAGCTCCATGAGTTTGGTTCGAATTGTACTACAGTTTAAGATATTCTTACAAAATGACCCCAAAATATAGTAGCTCAAACAAGATAGAAATCTTTTTTCTCACATAAAGTACAGAAGTGGGGAGGCTAAGGCTCCACATGACCATTCAGAGACGCATGTTCCTTCTATCTTATTCTTCTGCCATCACTGGGTTGTTGCTACTGAGAGCATAGCCAAACCTCTTCAGCTATTCATCAGTATTCCAGCCCATGGGAAGAGGAAAACAGAAAAGTAGAAGGCAAGGAACTTCATTTTAAGCAAGTGGTGCAGAAATTAAACACATCACTGCACTCATATTCTTTTGACAAGAAATTGGCCCTATGGCCCTATCTGTTGCATGGGAGTGTCTAGCTGGGTGGCTAGGTGCTCAGTTAAAAGTTTGTTAACTAGAAGAAGGGAAGGGTGGATTTTGAGAAACATCTGGAATATGCCACAGATGAGAAGGAAGTGAGTTTTTTTGTAGGTAAGTATCCTCAGAGGAATTCTAGACATTTAAATTTTTTTCTCCTTTTCCTAACTCTCAGTTTGGTCATGTTAAGACATGTCGTAATTCTCACCTGGTAACCTGTCAAGCATTAAATCCCCATCCCCACCCAAACACACACAGTTCTTCAGTTCAGATTGGAAAGGCTTTTGTGTGTGGTATTCCCTCTAGGATGTGGATTTTCTCATCTCCATGTTGCTGATTTGTTGGTTGTGTGTGTAGCAGTGAGGCTATAGCTTTCCACTGAACTCATTGAGAATTTTTAAATATATGAAACAAAATTAGTACAGATTCCGCTTATGCCCTGTGTGATATTTTTCTCAATACTCAGAACCATCCTGTTCTCTTCTTGGCACTCTCCAATGGGTCTTCTACCTTCAACTCTTACCCTACTGCCGTGACTCTTATCAAATTTACCAATGACCGAAGTCACCAATTTCACCAAATCCAAAGGTCACTTACATGCCCTTATTTTACTAGGTCTAGTCACACTTAATGCTGTTGACCACCCCTTTTTTTCTCTCAAACCTTTGCTCTTACTGAATATTTGTTGGGTGAATAAATGAGTGAATCAAAATTTAGCCAGTATATTTGGGCAATATTGGGATATCATATATTTATCTTACTCAATTTCAAGCATTGTAATCAACTTCTATAAGGTATAAAGTGGCCATCTTCCCTGTATTGTATCATTCTTTCGAAGTTCCAACCTTCTTTCAAGGCCACACTCAAATCCCACCACCTCAAAGCCCCTTTTCCATAGTCCAGATGGATTTCCGTAATCGCTCCTCCCCAAAAGTGGGTAGCACTCTTTTCGTATATCCCATTACAGCTCTTGCCACAGTTACCTTGCTCATAAGCCTTTCTTTCCCAATAAAGTGTGAACATCAAGGGCAGAGGCTGGGGTGGTTTCTATCCTCATAACCTCTTCAATCCCGACAAAGTTTACCAGGCAATAAATGCACTTAGTAAATCATTGTTGAGCTGAATTAAATCTGAGTCAGAGGGTCTTGTTCCTGCTTTATTCCCATCTCAGGAATTAAATGTAATGGGTTTCTGTTCCAGGCAACCAACTTGATCACCAAGAAGGAACTGCTGACCATGGACCCAGACACAGAAGACCTGCAGCTTGTCTACGAGATAACCACAGGCCCTGAGCATGGCCACATGGAGAATAAGCTGCAGCCTGGAAGAGCTGCTGCTACTTTCACACAGGGTGGGCACTCTTAGAGCTGAGAGGTGGGAGAGGTCTCTTCTGACACCACTCTCCTTACTTCCCTGATCTTTCCCACAACTACTGCCAGCTACTTACCCCCAAGTAACCTATTTACAAACAAATAGATCTTTCAGTGTCTAACCATCCAACTTTGGAATTTTACTTCTCCTGATTTTTTTTCCCTGTTACTCTGAATTAATGGCAAAAAAAAAAAAGGAAGAAAGAAAAAATTTATCTTTACCAGGCTTCCTCAGCTCCCAAATTGCTTTAGGTTTGGCCAAGTTTTCTGGAAAGGATCGCATGATACTCCTGGGTTTTCTTTCAAAACAGAAATAACCACCAGACTTTATGAAAGATCTGTGACCCTTTGTGGTTTACTTTTTTTTTTTTTTTTTTTTTTTTG